ACTATTTTTCTTTTTTTTTTTATTAACCGGTGGTTGTAGTTTTGCTGTGGTAGCCTGTTTTACTCTAGTTCCTTTAAAGTTTTCTTCTATTGCTCAGTTTACTTTCATTCCTTACATTGTTTCTGTTACTTTCGGGGTTTATAAAGCGTAAACTGCCCCAACCCAGTTTATACCGTATAAAATGGGTAGCTATTAAATTCATTCCTTAAATAAACAGGTTTGCCAAAATATAACAAATATGGGCATATACTAGAGGATTGGTAGTTTTAATATATGCATAGCAAAATTTCCACACTCCTTAATTAGAAGTATATAAAGCATTTTAAGATTTATTTTTTCCAGAAATTTCTATTTTTTCAACTATTTTTACATGGATTTCCTAAGACTGACGTAGTGCCCATCCCTCGAGCAAATATATATATATATATATATATATATATATATATATATATATATATATATATATATATATATATATATATATATACAGTCAAACCTCGTTATCTCGAACTCGAAGGAACCGAGAATAAACTTCGAGATATCTGATTATTCGAGATATCGAGTGTAAAATACCTAAAGAAATAGTGGTTTGGACATGCAAATCACTTCGACATATCCATGGTATTCGAGATATCAGTGTTCCAGATAACGAAGTTCAACTGTATTTCATAATATTTTAATTAAAGACAGACAAAAACAGTGGTAAAAATTTGCTCGCGGAATGGTCTGCATATGCAGTTATGTTTCTAGATAGAGGTATACAAAATTAAGAGATTTCCAACGGTGTTTTATAATCCCAAGCGCAAAATCTATTCCGCATTGGAATTTTACAACATATTTATGTAAAAAAGGAACAAATATCGATGTTTGAATCATGAAATAAAAACGCAAATATTTTAATAAAAAAAAATGAACACAAGACATTGTATTTAGATATAGATATTTAGATATAGAGGTGCTGTAGGGGCTAAAATTATATTTTGTTATAAAGGGAACTTAGTCAGGGCCCCATCCCTGGTAGCTGCCCTATATATAATCTTTAATGTTATAGTTCTGGAAATAAATGTGAGAGAAAAATAAAAAACACAAGTCATTTAAAATGCACAGGTTGGTGCCATTTATTTATGTAACCGTGATAGCCGGTCAGCCTGAAAAAGGGACATGCGTGTGTGTGACTGGGGGAGCGGGACATTCCTTATTGCTGTCATGTAGTAAATTTTGAGTTTACCGGGGAGAAGTAAACTTGTAAATTTTGTATTTCCTGCCATCCACTATCACTACATATATTTACTTCTATTTACTGCGATCCAATAAATTGAAATTTTACAACATAAGATTACAAATCATCCCATGAAACAAATCCTGAACTACATTTAATGAATAATGGTGAACATCATGCCGTAAGGGCGGATTCATGAAAGTCGCGCGACTTATTAAAAAGAGAGGGAAAAGTGGGGAGGGGCTTTTTATTGCAAACTACAGTATTCAAAAAAAAAAATTCGGAGATATTTTGAATGCTCTTTTATATACCTTGAAAGGGAAGCGGACAATCTAGTGTTCTTTTTTTCTGAAAACAAATGAAGTTCAAAAAAGATTTCTTTGTTTAGTTATGCGTATTCTTAAAAATAAAACCAAAACAATGCACTGAATATTGTCGTAGCTTTATTCATACATTTAAAAAACTCATACTCAATTGAAAAAATAATCAAAGGAAGAAACTTGTCCTCCAAATTAAAGTCAAGGCTTTTTGGCATCATTGACAGCAGCTTTTTCAATAGAAATGGAACTCGTAAATTTACTTACTTTATTATTGGTCATTTGCAAAATTATTTTGTTAAAACCATTCTGATTGTACACAGAAGTACTCTGAAGTTGATATTAAAAAAGATGCTTGAGTTTCTGATTGACAGCATCTATGCAGTTTTTGGAGACCAGTCCTCAAACATCTGTTGGAATTCCCATGTACACCGAATGCGCCCCATAGTTAGCAGACCTATTTTTTGTATTCATATGAATCAAAATTTATTCAAAATCTTATAAATGAGAAAAAGAAATCTCTTTTTTGTTGTTGTTGTTTTCACTCATATGGAAACGTCACAACTTGCCGGTGAGGGCTGCTAAGGATCTACTTCTTACATCGCGACTCTAGAGCAAACGATCTAACCACTGCGCCATGCGGCGACAAGAAAACACTTGCTGTGGCTTTCAACTCGACAATTAGATATATCGACGACGTATTATCAATTAGGAATACTTATTTCTATTCATATGTCGTCAGGATTGATTACGTTTTCAACAGTGAAATATTGTAATTTATATATCTAAGAAAATGTAATAAACAGAAAATTCAATGTTTTGTAAATGAATATGGAATTTATTTCACTCGTGAGACAGGATTTTTTAATATTTTCAATCGTGCTTCGCACTCGTGAAAATATCAAAAAATCCTGTCCAACTTATGAAATAAAATCGATTCCATATTCATCTACGAAAACATTGAATATCTATATATCCCAGTGAGCTTGAAATAAAAGATACTACAGAGTTTGACACATCTGTTTCATATTTGGATATTTTACTAGAAAAAGACGTTAATGGTAATCTAACAACAAAGCTTGATGACAAAAGTGATGACTTTATCTTTTCAATTGTCAACTTCACTTACTTATGCAGCAGTATACCCTTATTACTTGCCTATGGGGTGTATATCTCTCAGTTGATTCGATACGCAAGAGCATGAACAATTTCTCAAACGAGGCAAGTTGATGAAACAATATCAATAAGGATATCATTAGTCTCGTTTAAAATCATCATTTCGCAACTTTTATGGTCGATACAATGACCTTGTAAGCAAATACAACATATCACTAAGTTAATTGCTGACTGACGTGTTTCATACTAATTGTGAGGCAATGATTTACACACTGATTGTCGACGGATTTATTCGCTTCCTCGATCATGATTAGGAGCACATGGCGGGTGTGACCGGTCGGCAGGAGATGTTCACACCTCGATGGCACCTGATCTCACCTCTGATGTTTTTCGAGATCCGTGTTTGCTCTTCTTCTGATTTGTATTGTCTAATTGGTTTTTGAGCTTGAAAACTGTTTGTTATCTCCATATTTCATCATAGTCAGCTGCCTTTTCGATACAAAATGAACTCATAAATTTACTTGTCTTGTCAATTGTCGATTGTTTAAAACCTTTTGGAAATACTGTTGGTCAATCAAGTTTCGGTCATTTTCAAAATAGCCGACATGAAAGTTTAAAGGGCATCATTTCGAAAAGTTCTTCTTGTTATTTCAATGTTCTCTGCAGCATTTTAATAATCTTTGAAATTATCAATGAAGATACGGCCAGCATACAGTTTAAGGGCCATTTCTTATAAATAATATAAATTGGAATATTTTTGCTGCTGTCTGTAAATTTATTTATGAAACCTGTCGATTTATAATTGCTATTGCTACTGTAAATAATTTTTATTTATCCCACTTGTTTAAGTTATATTTCTTTGATTTATTTTTTACTTGACATATTTATTTATGTAAAGAGAGGAAAATAAAATAAATCTTACACGGTACCAATTTTGATGCACCAGCTGCTTGTTTTGTTATGTCTCTTCAGTGATGCTCACGCCGAAACGTATGAAATCCGAAATAGTTTGATAGTTTGATGACTTTGAAGAGCTGAAAAAAGTGGGTGCCAAAGACTGGAGCCAAATACGTCGAAGTATCAGAGCTTGGCATGGGGAGATAATCCTTGATTTTGAAATAAATTTCTAAATTTTACCACAGCAATTTTATATTTGTCCGTATTTTCAAGCTAGTACCGAAGTACTTAGCTACTGAGCTGTAGAGAACCTCGGGTACTGACAGTCAACCAGCAGAGGCCTCGACACAGGGGTCCTAAAATAAATCTTTTACGCTACAAATTTTGATGCACCAGATGCGCATTTCGACAAATTACGTCTATACAGTGATGCTCATGCCCAAACGTTGGAAATCTGAAATACTTTGATAAAGAAAAGTCAATGGAGAGCTGAAAAAGGGAATACCAAAGACTGTATACCAATAAGTGTAAGAACCTTTTTTTCAATCCTTCTGATTCATTCAATAAAAATATGTTCGAAACAAAATAACAATTGTAATCATTTTAAATGTACGTACAGGCGAATTCAGATTCTTTTTAAAGGCTTTTGATCATTTTGTTTGGTCTGCATTCACGTAAAAATGTGAAAAGAGTCTCCCAGGAATTGAAACGGATTATAATTTGAAAATAATATAAAGCATCTAAGAATGATTTATATCATTTAAAATAAACCTTTCTTCATGCATTGGTGTGGTAGGGAACAATATCTTTTACATCAATTAAATCATCTTTTTTACTGAAAGAATAAAACATGTTTTTTTTTTAGGATTCGTGTTAATATCTATTGAATGATGGCGTCAAAGATGGAAGAAATAAGGATTGAAATATTTCCTACTTTTCTTCAGGAGGTTGGCACACTTGCAATGCTGTTTTGTTTAAAATTTGAATTTTCTACTTCATTGAAATAAGGTAATGAATATACATGAAAATACTTAACATTCAGTGACAACGGTTTTTTCAAAATAACTTTACACCAAACAGTTGTAGTTGTGAACATTGACATTCACTCTGTTATTTTAATATTTAAGTTTTACTAGGTTTATTTGATTTTTTTATAACGTTCACTTCACTAACAACAAAGTGTTAACACTGGTGTGTTGCTTTTGGTTTCTTACACTTTTTCTTTTATTGTTCTTAGCAATAGTTTTAATGTCTTTTATTAATACACCTTAGATTTTCCATTTTCCTTGAAAATCAAGGATGCATTTTAGTTTGTGAATGTGTAAGAATGTATAGCAATCAAACACGCCCGATCTTTATATATAATTTTTCATATGAAAGAAGTTTCTTAGTAAGTTTAAAAAATTATCAACCTGAAACACTCATGTAATATGAAAGTACTAAATTGCGGGGGAAAAGATGGTACACTTCAAATCCGTGTTCCTTTAAAGCATAAATTGATTTATGCCTCGGAGTTGTGGATAGAGTTTTTGTTAACTTCCATAATCTCAACAATTCCATCTCCTGCTTGGAATCCTCTACTGTTAAAGGTGGATACATATACTTTATCTGTTGAGAGGATATTATCAGGTCCTAAGTCATCTGTAAAAAAAAATTAAGTATTAGGTTAAGTTTAATATTATTCTAATATCATGCATGTATTACGAACACAAAAATCTTAATCGAAGCAAGTATAATATATTCTTACAAAGAGTGAAATATAGGTCAAAAAATTAAAAACAAAAGATTAAAAACGTAAACTTAAAAAATGGCAACACTTACCTTTAAATTGTGAATACTCTACGGTGTAATCGTTCGATTTGTTTGAATGTTCCTCTTTTCTTGTCGACTGTAACCCATTGTTTTGATGATTACCACTATATGTGTTAGGAGTCTTGCTAGGACTGGCAGCTGTACTTCTCATTACACGGTCTTTGTTGTTTTTCTCTGGTCTAAAGACCACGATGTAGATTTTTGTCAGAAAAAGACAACTGAGAAAAGCTGTCGCATGAATGAACAATGAAACACAAAGAGAGATGACTCGTGCAGCAATAGTTGTGGAGAAAGCATACAGAGGTACAAACGCTAACCAGATGATAAAGGAAGTGAAAGAGCAGTACATGATTTCACGTGAATCGTTCATGCCTTCAGGTAGTTTTCTTGTTTTGATGGCGAGGATAAGGCATGCAATCATTAGCATAAAGGGCCAGAAGAGTAGAAGGAAATATTTGAATTTGCTAGAGTCTTTACACGTACGGTGACCGACTGGAGGATCTGATGTCAGATTATATTTTATCGCTTGTTCTGGAGTATCAATTATAAACCAAAATATTATTGCAAGAAGTTGCATAGCTGAAAGAGCAACAGAAAGTAACAAAGCAGTCATCATTGTACACATGTACGGCTTTGGTAAGCGGTGTCCTTTCGCTGCGTGTTGCTTGATTCCAGATCTCACATCGAACGCTCTCTTATAAACAATTAGCTTAGAAAGGATGGAGGAATAGGCCATAGTATAACTCATGCCGATAAATAATCGAGATAGTGCGCAGGATAGGGATGAAGGAAAGCTTAGTAAAATAAAAGGTGAAATATACGACATAAGAATACTAGAAAGCAATACCATGCTGGTTTCAAAACCGGTGGCTTTAAGTAGAGGAGTATTTCTTTTCTGCACAAACACAGCGGATACAACGATGCATAAAACAGAACCCAAAATACACAATGCGAGAATAGCAATAGAGAAGGGATTTTCGTATGTAAAAAAAGAAATTGGAATTTGTATGCATTCATTTTTCTCTGAATTGGGTGTATATCCGTGTGAACAATCTGTACAGCTGTAAGGATCTGATGAATTAGTGATGGTTGCAGGAGGACAAGGTGTACAGTCCCAACAACAGATTTCTGTTTTTCTTTTAACGTAGCCAGGAAGACATTCCATAGAACATGCCGCCTGCGACTTGACAGCATCGAATTCCAAATCTTCTCCTACATCTTGTTTAATAGAGAAAATGTCATTTTCAGATAATATTTTAAAGTCCTGAATCAAGAAAATATAATTTTAAATTTCAATTTGGAAGGTTAATTTCAGCAAATATAAATATAAAATTAAAAATGTTATACATTTTCCTATTTCAGTCCATTCAAAGTGATTGCCTTTTCCTTTGTACTGTAGAATACTGTATCTAGGTGGTCCTTCAATGCCATCAACAAATTGGAATGAAGTGTTTAATGGATCTGTAATTGAAATTGACATTTATCATTTCCCTATTTTATATACTAAATTTGACAACGGAATGTTCCGTCTACCTGATCAATACACAGGGCTTTTGGCGGGAGTGACCGGTCGACAGGGGATATTTACTCCTCCTAGGCACCTGATCTCACCTCAGGATTTTTCGGGATTCATGTTTTTTGCCCTGTTCACAAATTTCTATTGTTTTTAGATATTTTAAGATCGATCACTTTTCCTTATCGTCATCTTTTTCATTCCCTAAAAAGAATTCTTTTCACGTTGATATACATTGTATTCAGACATTTTTACTTCAAATTCTCATCTTGAAATCGTGTTCTTACTTTTAACTCCCTCGAGGTATTCTAACAATAGATCTCCTGTTAAGTTTTCTTTAATTTCCTTACAAACACCAGAATAATTCTTGCAGATATCCGAATGAATATTTAGAATGGCATCACCAAATGCATAAACAGCATCTCGGACATTGATGATATAAGGGATACCTGAGAAATACAAGTAGATAAAATGATGTTTTTCAGTAACTTGATCATTTCAATGTGATATTAACAATATGTTCTTATCTTTTTCTTTCATTTTTATGTGCCAATGTTTTTTTTTTTTTAATTTCAAATAAAAAGCTTTTCAGATCGGAAATTGAGCTCTTATATTCAAGTTCAATCTTCATGGGAAGGGCCTGGACATGAAGACAGTAAGCCAAATGAAAACGCAAAAAATTATAACCCTGTTATCAAGGATGTATAAAAACAAGTGAGCATCTAAACATTATTCATACTCATTATAATAATTCATAAAATAAATTTAATTCTAAAACTGTTTATCAGTTAACTACCTTTGCCAGTTTAAGATCCTCATTAAAATTGAATGTTGTAAACTGTTGAGGAAATTTTTACTGACACGCATCGCTTAATAGATTAGTCTAGAAGGGAAATCTATAAGCTTCGTTTCATGATTTTTACATTTATTTTAAGTTGACATAATCATTGTAATTTACCAGTGTTATTAATCTGCCCACAATTTCCCGCTGTGCAGTTTGGGTAATATTGGTGGAGGAATTCTGAATACCACGGATTTAAATTTGTTTCTATACTTTGGCTGTAAATAAGATGTTAAGAATTATTAGATATAATACTGGTATAAATGCTTCAAAGGGTATTAATATTTAACATAACTGAGAGATGTAGGCGTAAGTGTAACGAGTAAAAAGTATCAGATTTCTCCTCACTTATTGACATATTGGAGATATCCTGGATATTCAGAAGTTTCTAGGGTAAATCCGATAGCTCCGTCCATTATATTTTCTAGTCCAACTGGTGGATCACGCCCTGTTAATCCGTCACTTCCGATCCAGATAAAGCCTTCAATGCGCATGTCATGGATTCGTTGAATAATTCTGTATGCATTTTGATACAGCATAAACAGAACTACCACTATTTTTCCTATAATAGAAATGTTTTAATACATCTAAAAATGAAAAGTTGTTCTTCACAAACTTGGATCTACAATTTGGAACCTAGAAAAGAGAAAATGTTTATGTTATATGTTCATAGTTTAGTTGATACTATATCTAATCATCTTTACATTTCATCAAAAGAACATTGATATATTGATAAATCGATACATTGATATACAATTATTGTACCTTTTGAGTTTCTACTGGATTTAAGGTCTTTTACAACCTCATTCATCTCTAAATCTGTCATTTTCTCTGATATTTGCTTTTCATAGCCAATACATACATTTCCCTGTTGTGCAAAGGTTTTGATATCATTGTAACCATATCGGCCATAGCTGGAATCTTCATATAGGATACTCACATACTCCCAGCCATTAGCTCTGAAGAAAGAACAAAATACAATTAACAAACAATATGCAGATGAAACAAATCGGTCAGGAAGCATATGATATTAAAACATAAAGTATATCAAATTGAAATACCCCCGGGTAGACCATTAGGGCTCCAGGAATTATCATGCACAGTGAATAACGTTAACCATTTGTTTGTAATAGGAAATTTCTTATATTACCTAATATAGTTTGTGTTTGTGGTAGTATGTGTTGCTTTTTATATGTTCTACATGGCATACTACAGGCTTCCTTTGAAGCAATGATTCTTGACCTAGACAGTAGGATGGCTTCCGTTTAGACAGAATTCTTCATAACATCTTTATAGTTTTAATAATCTTGGTAACACTTTACTTTGAAATCAAAATTGAAATTTAGAATTTTATATATTGATTTTTTTAACTTGTGTCAACTTTTTTATCGAAATCGTACTAAAACTTTGGAAGAAGTATTTTTCGATCAATAGAACTATCCAGCATTCACTTGATTTGATACTCAACAGCATGTGCCTTCTTAATCAAAATACCACGTGACTAATGGGGAAAAACATTCCGGGGGAAAGAGCTCGAGTATATAATGTGTATTATCATTTCAATATTAATCCAATGTATATACATGTAGCTTTTGCAGTACCGATGCTTTTTATAAACTTGCTACAGTTTTTAGTTTATCCTAGGCTAATTCAGACGTACTGTGATGCAAAAATTTAAGAATTTGTGTAAATTAAATGTTGATCCTCAAAAATTGTAAGTTTTTTTCTTTTTTTCTTCAGCCAGTAAGGTCAAAAGTTGTTATAATTTTTCAACACTTTATACAGACATTCCCCCGATAATTTAAAGATATTGCTTTTTGATATAGAAAACTGTTTTGTCAATGAATTATGAAGAAAACCAACAGATTCAATCTCGAAAGTCCAATGAAACGATACAAATTTGGAGCAGAGCAAACACGGACCTCAAACTTTAGAGGTGGGATCAGGTGCCATGGAGGAGTGAGCATCCCTTGCCGATCGGTCACACCCGCCGTAGCTCCTTGTCATGATCGGGGAAAAACGGAAAAATCTGTAGACAGTTCATCGTATAAATAATGGCCTATTGATTAGTAAGAAAAACGCCAGTCAGCATTTGACTCAATGAGAGGTTGAATGTGCTGACGAGTTCATTGTATCGACCATAAAACTTGCGAAATGATGACTTCAAACGAGACTGTTGATATCCTTGTTTCATCAACTTGTTTGTCAATACCTTTCCTCCTTTTAGAAATTGTTCATACGTAGAACATGCTCTTGCGTATCGAATCAACTGAGAGACATAAACCCCATATGCAGGTGATAAGTGTATATTGCTACAGAAGTAAGGGAATTTGACGATTGAACCCTAATCCTGAAAAGTTAAAGTCATCACGTTTACCATAAAAATTTGTTGTTAGATTACCATTAACGTCATTTTCTAGTAAAATACCTAAATATGACACAGATGTGTCACACTCTGTGGTATCTTTTATTTCAAGCTCACTGGGATATATCGAGTCGACATATGAATGGAAGTAATTATTGCCAATTGATAATGAGTCGTCGATATACATGTATCTAAATGTCGAGATGAAGGCAACAGGAAGTGTTTTCTTCTTCTGATGTAGAAGTTTTTGAATAAATTCTGCTTCATATCAATACATTAAAAGTTCTGCTAAAAAAATAAGAGGAAATTCTCATACCTTGTTATCGATCTTCTACAATATTTACTCTTTAATCATTCTGATTCTACAGATCAGGGCACTGAATTTGATACTAAAAGATGAATGGGTTATTCATTGACAATATATGTAGTCTAAGATCCTCATTAAAATTGTCCTCATTGTTACATTGACTTTGTTTACAATTACAGCCCATGATAGAGTCATACTTTGACTGACATATTTTAAACAAATTGTTGGAGTTTTATCCAAATTCTTAGACTATTACTTTTATATAAAATTTGACAACGGATTTCTTTATTTACCTGGATAATCCATAGGGTTCACGAGGGGTGTGACCGGTCGACAGGGGTTTCTCACTCCTCCTATAGGCACCCGATGCTGCATGAACCTCTGGAGATTTCCGGGGGTCCGTTTTTTTTCTGGTTACTAATTTGTACTGATTTATAGAATTTTTAGATCAATTACGGTTCGTTTTTTTCACCTTTTTC